TTGGTGAGACCATGGCAAATGATTGCAAAATGTTGGATGCTCTTGCGGACACCTCTCTCCGTTCATGGAAAAGAAGACGATGAGAGACGTGGAGGCATCTTCTCCTAGCAGCTCTGTCCCGCCAACGCTGTGTCACAAAGCTTCAGAGCATCCCGTATTTCTGTTCCCGGACGGCCCTATGATTTTTTTTTTCTTCCTAAACAAGACCTGAGCATTAACAAATTCTAAACTAATCTCTCCGTAATATCTAGCTCTATGCCCTCTTCAAGGTCGCCAATGGCGAGGATATCTCCAAGGCTCCCGCTCCAGGAATGTTCGACCTGAAGGTACCAGACCCCAACCCTATATCTCACTTTGTATATTTCTTCTCCAAAAAAAAGTCCATGCCACTAACCCGATTCTTTGTCTCTTGTGAATAGGGCAAAGCGAAGCACAAGGCCTGGCAAAAGGAGGTCGATGCCGGTACCACCGCCGAGGCCGCTGAGGAGCGCTACATCAAGCTCGTCGACAGTCTCAAGCTCAAGTACGGCTTTGATCCGCACAAGGCGCCCGAGGCCGTCGGCGGGAATTAAAGAGGTCTCTTGGGCAGCAGGCAGGCCATGGAAGCGGACAGATTTGGTAGCGCCCACGGCTGAACGGTTGTTCTTGACTTTTTGACCAATACATCTTTCTCGGACACACCAACACAACACAACTTGCCTCTTTATGGTTGTAGTAGCAACGCTGACGGTTTGCCGCGTTGTGGATTTTTCGATCGCCGAAAGTCGTGGACCTCTTGAGAACCAGGCCCAAAGTATAGGAGAGCATAGGAGGGATGTCCTCACCATAACCACACACATACACACTGTGGTCATCCTACGCCGTCTCTGTCCCCTGTTTCTTCCCATTCACTTTATTGCCGTCTTCCCTGTGTTCTTTGTCCGCTTCATCGTCATCGTCATCGTCATCTTCATCCTCGTCGTCGTCATCATCATCATCATCATCATCATCATCATCACCACCCGTAATCTCCTGTCCCGCAAACATCATCCACTGCCCACCCAGCACACTCTTCCTCCACACCTTGGTCACCCCGTCGCCGCCGGTGCTCATGAGCACCTGGCCCTGCGAGTCGAACGTGACGGACCAGGCGTCCGTGTGCGCCTGGGCGAGAGTGGTAGCAGACGAGAGGGTGGTCATGTAAGGAAACGTGTAGGCCGTCCGGGCGGGGTTCGCCGAGTGTTGCGGCGCCGACGTCCCGGAGGACGAAGGGGACGTGTGGTGCGTCGCGGTGGTGCCGTGTCGGCCGGCGATTTGGGTCGTCAGACTCGATTGATGTTGCTGTTGTGACTGTTGTTGCATGCTCATGCTACGTGTTGTTGGCGTTGGGGTAGAGTGCTGCGGGTCTGCGCCGTTGTTGCGGCCTGGATGGCCATTGTTGCGCTGTTGCCGACTATCATCGCCGTCTCTGGCTGCAGCGCCAGGGCCGTCAGCGACACCGAGTTCAAAGATGCGTACGGCGCCGTCTTTGCACGCCGTCGCGATGCGGTCGGTGCCACGCACGCTGAACGGCGCCCATGCCACGTCCCGCACCAGCGTCGGATGCGTGGGCAGTCTGATGGCCTCGTAGAACATCAGTCGGTGGCTGGCGTTGCTGCCGCCCGAGATGCCCGTGCCACCGCTGATGCCCATGCCTATGCCACCCATGCTCACGTCCGCGCTGGTGCCCGTGTGCGAGGGCACGACGCTGCGATAGATCTTGACCTCGTTGAGCGCGCAGACCACGATGCCCAATTGGTCGCGGTCGTCGCTGACCGAGTTGATGTAAGCCAGCGGCGTCGGGTTCGGGTCGAAGCGCACTTTGAAGCTGGTCTCCTCGCCGCGGCCGGGCGCGGCGCTTGTACCCGTCGCGCACACGTTGAAGCAGTCCAGTAGCGTCCACTCTCGCAGATCGTCCGGTGTGCTCGGCTCGTAGATGCTCAGCAGGCCCTGTCGGTCAATCAGGGCCAGGAACGTCGACACGTGGTCCGTTGCCAGCGTCTTGACATCCATGCTCACAAATGGCACGCGCGGCGTCGATGGGATTGTCGCGACGCGCCTAAACCGATGGCCTCCTCGAGGAGCTTGCGAAGCGTCTTCACTCCAGAGGTGGAATTTGAGATCGTTGCCTATGCTGCCTAGGTGTGTGCCTAGCGTTGGGTGTAGGAACTTGGCCTTTTTGGTACATATTGCGTTGTCTGGTTAGCAGGGAGTGCGCATAAAAGGGGAAAGGAAAATAGATGGGATCGGGAAGCCAAAAGGACTTCTGTAAAACTCACATCTCTTACATCGGAGTCATGTGCCGTGAAGGTGTCCAGCAACTTTCTCTCACCCGTCTTCGGATCTCGCTCCCAGACCTTGATCCGGTGGTCTATCGACGCCGTCAGGATGCGGGTGCCGTTGAAGTTGGTGTGTACCACTGTGACGCGATCGTGATGGCCCGGATCGAACGCCGAGCTTTTACCCATTGTGGAGAGCAGACGGCGCTATTAGCAGCGACCCGGAAGCTGCTCAATTGAACGTCTGAGCGATCAAGCAGAGAGCAGATTCGGCAGGGGAAGTTGTGGTCATAAGTGGCTTGAGGGAAGTAAATACTTCATTCCTGAGGTCGATTGACGGACAAGGATGTGTCAGATTAGGCCGTGCTGAGACATTGCATGCTAATAGCTTTCATTTCCGGCAGATAGATTCTTAGAGGTGTCTCGGAGCTCCGTATAACCCACAACTGACAGGATCGGATACAGAGAGCAAGAAATAGAGAGGCATTTTCGTGGATGTCAATAGTAGCTTTCGAGGTTTGGTTGGTTGGTTTCAAGCGGCCCCTGATTGGCTGAATATCTGCGAGGCTGACTCTGTCGGATTATCATTGATCCGAAGACTACAAGCTGGGATTGACCAAAGGACAGATTGTCAGGTCGCCAACTTGATATCTCACAGCGTCCTACCATTGTTCAACAAAAGATTTGTTGTTGGTACATTCACCGGCGCGCAGTCTCGTCTGGGTGAAAACATTACCATGGCTCCCATCTCTGTGCGGTCGAGGTAACACAAAAGTAGCATCTTACATCAAGAACAGCATGGCTTCTTCCGCACTCAGCCCTTCAGAGAAATGGTCGCTGCTTGTGACCACCGGAGCTTCTCTGGCTGTGATTGCCAACACCTTCCAGGGAGATGGAGCCCCTCTTGTGGCATCCCTCGCGTTCTCGACCCTGGCTTTCTCTATGACTTATGCTTTTGTGCGATGGTCCGGCCCGGCTTTTGTCAAGGCTGGCCTGAAAGGGAGAGACATGAGCAAGATCATGCCTAAAGAGATGTGAGTAGTTTTCAATGCTGAGTAGGGTGCAGACGCTAATCTGCATAGTCCTGAGGCCATGGGGGCAGTGGCTGCGGCGGTCTACATACTGGCTCTGATGGCCTTCATTCCTTTCGCCTTCTACAAGGACATCGTCGCTGCTACGTCCGGTGGAGGAAACCGGGATGTCGTTCTCACAGTCACTGAGGTCGAGACTGGACGCTTTTTGCACCGATTTCCTCACTCGAAACTGTCCTCGTATCAATCGGCACTGAACACGCTCCAAGCCACGACTATACTTGGTATATGCGACGACCTCCTCGACCTTCGCTGGAGACACAAGTTCTTCATCCCCGCGGTAGCATCACTACCCCTGCTGATTGTTTACTATGTCGACTTTGGCGTCACTTCGGTAGTGGTTCCCAATTTCCTTGTCCCTTATATGCCTAATCAGGCTCGTCTCATCGACCTGTCACTCTTCTATTACCTGTACATGTCAGCACTGTCAATATTTGCCCCAAACTCGATCAACATCCTGGCAGGGGTCAATGGGATCGAAGTTGGACAGTCACTGGTGATTGCGGGACTCTTGGTGCTCAATTCAGCACTCTATCTGGTCCCTTTCCCTGGGAATCCGGTCTTGAACCACGCCTATGCAACGCGCCCACATCCTGCCACCGATGGACATCTCATGACGCTGTATATCTTATTGCCATTCTTGGCCGTGTCGACAGCCCTGTACATCCACAACCGATACCCAGCTAGAGTCTTCGTTGGGGACACGTATTGCTATGTCGCAGGCATGACATTTGCGGTGGTGGCGATCATGGCGCATTTCAGCAAGACACTCCTGCTGCTTCTGATTCCACAGATTGCCAACTTCCTCTACAGTACTCCACAGCTATTCCACCTGATTCCGTGTCCTCGACATCGGCTACCCAAGTTTAACGCAAGAACAGGTCTCCTCGAGCCCAGTGTGACACCATGGCCACCGGAGAGGCCTCCCAGCAAGCTTCTCACAGCGGTATTCTTCTTCCTCGAGAAGTTACACCTGATTCAAGTGACGGTGGATTCCAAGACGAACCGCATCTCTAGCACATCGAATCTGACCATTATCAATTTGTGGCTGGTATGGAGGGGTCCTATGAGAGAAGACCAGCTCACAAGGGAGTTGCTGGTCATGCAGACGTGCTGTGGCCTCTTAGGGCTGTTTGTGCGGCACACGATGGCGTTGATAATATTCGGCATTGATAATCGGGGGCTGGGGTCTGCGGTGTAGTAGACATATGGCGTGAAATGCCGTATAGACCTTGATACCCCTGTGATATAGACGAATCAACCTTTCTCTGATATGCCTTATATTCCTCGTGTGGCATGTGCCGAAGATGATCCGAATCCCAGGCCACCCGCTCCTGCCACTGCAGCCTTCAGCCTTCCAAGCGTGTCCTAATGCGTCTTCGAGTCAACTGCAAATTGCCTTGCACGGGTAATAGGCTCCCCAGATGAGTTTGTAAGGCTATCAAGTCGTTGTATGGGAAGGGTGATTAGGCAGGTCTTCGGTAAATGTCGGTGTCGTGCGTCACCCTCAGGATCCTCCGATTCACTTCTCGCTCGACTCTTTTTCACCGCAACTCGCTCAGGATTTCAACCTGCTCACAACTTCACACGACAGCTGTCAGGTTTTCCTCTGATGGCCGGAAGATCTTCAAAACGAGTCAAGCTCGACTCCAACCCAAGTCACGGTCCATCGGCCTCGCAGAGATCGCCTCCATACAGCAATGTCGCGGACCCAGCATCCATCCGGGTGAAGAGAGCCGCGTTCCTCAGTTCAATCTCAAGGTCAATCTCACCTCCAGGCATCTCAAGATCGGGAACAACGACGCCGCAGCCGCAGACCCAGACGAGCGAGAGCCCAAAAAAGGACGATCCTCCTCGTCCTCCGCTACCTCAGATTGAATCACCCAAGCGAGTCCACGCAGATTCAGACAGTCAATACACCAACATTGATTCCAGCCAAACCTCTACAGCGAAGCTCGTTCCCTCTCCTTTCAGACTCACGACCATACGTGACCTTCCGCCTTCCAAGAACGCTGATACTGTCTCACTACATGACATCCTCGGGAATCCGCTGATCAAGGAAGCATGGATCTTCAACTACTGCTTCGATGTCGACTGGCTGATGACCCATTTCGATCCCGATATTCGCCCCAGTGTCAAAGTAAAGATTCTTCATGGCTCGTGGAAGAATGACTCTCCAAACAAGATCCTCATCGACGATGCGTGTCGGAGATGGACCAATGTTGAAGCCGCGACTGCTTATTTGCCTGACCATTTCGGAACTCACCATAGCAAGATGTTCATTCTCTTTACCCACGATGACCTTGCGCAGGTTGTTATCCACACAGCCAATATGTTGGAGAAGGACTGGACCAACATGACCCAGGCAGCATGGCTGTCTCCTATGCTACCACTTCTAGAAGGCAAGGAGGTGGACAAACCGGGCAAGATAGGAACTGGGACGAGATTTAAGCATGATTTGCTCGCCTATCTCACCGCATATGCATCAAAAACAAAGGACCTGCAGGAACAACTGGCCCAATTCGATTTTAGAACCGTCAGAGGTGCCCTTGTTGCTTCCGTACCGTCACGAATGAAGGAGTCCTCAACCGCGCAGAAGAACGAGGTCGCATGGGATTTGAAGCTCTGGGGCTACCCAAGTCTGTTGCGAGCGTTGAGATCGATTCTCCCAAAACAACGGAAGACTATACCCTCCAACAAGCAGACAAGCACAGAGTCACCGCATGTTGTTTGCCAGATTTCCTCAATCGCCACCCTCCCACAGAGCTGGCTGAATCAGTTCTTCCCCGTGCTCTACTCTACCCTGCAATTTACCTCAACCAGTCCAGCACGTGAATGGGAGCCCGAGCACGTCTCAATCATCTACCCAACACCTCACAACGTTGCGGCATCGCTCGACGGGTACGCATCCGGCGGATCCATCCACACAAAGGCACAATCCACTGCTCACTTGAAACAAATCACTGGCCTTCGAAGATCATTGTGTCAATGGACCAGAGGCTCAATCAAAGACGCAAGAGCGGGAAGAGACGAGGCGGCACCACACATCAAGACATATGTGTGCTTTGCCAGCAAGCCGACGACGACGAAACCAAGACCGGAGGTGAAGTGGGCGTTGTTGACGAGCGCGAATCTAAGCCAGCAGGCCTGGGGCACTCTCCGCGTGAAAGATAAGGAGATTGTCGTGCAGAGCTACGAGATCGGCGTGCTTGTCTGGCCAGAGCTGTTCGCCGAGAACTTTGACGCCGAAGGCGTCAGTGAGACGGACGAGCACGGCGCAGTGGGAGAAGAGACCAGTGATGCCCGAAAGATAAAGATGATTCCCGTGTTCGGAGGAGATACACCTCAACACCCTCCACATACCTCGGACGACGTCGCCGAAGCATCGCCTGGTCCCGAAACACTGGTCGGCCTGCGCATCCCGTACGACCTCCCCCTTACGCCTTACGAGGACGGCGACATGCCATGGAGTCCGCAGGGCGTGTATGAGCAGCCCGACCGCTGGGGTAGACGGTGGCCCAGGAATTTCACCTGAGCTGTCATCTCCATCTCTCTCTGAAACCCGGTTTGCAGTCTCTTTCCCGTGTCCCAACCCTAACAACACCAGTACGACAACCGTCCCTTGGACAGTAAGGAGGTTGATTATCCTCCTTTGGTGGGAGACACAACCTCTGTGACGGACGATGTTGTTAAGAGAGAGAGGAACACAGATACGGCCACAAGCCATGACGAATGATGATAATGATGTATCCATTACAGCGACTTCTGTATATCCACGCCAGCGGAATGAGAAGAAGACAGCAAGGACTCTGGAGATCACTATCAAGGTTGTCTCACTGGGCTCATCATACTCGTACATCTATGTACCTCAATATACCTCAATGTACCTCGTATCTACAGCTTGCACCCAGGAATTCCTACAATCCCCAAGGGTCCAAGCTATTCATATACACCTCACACTTTTATCATAACAGTAGAGAAGTCTTCGTTCCTTGTTGTCTCCGTGCGTGTATTCCGGTCTTGGCCACTCAGCTGATCTGTTCGGGTTCTAGCAGCCAGTCTCCCACGTTTCCTGTTACCGTGTATATATATACAATAGATACCCGGTCTGGTGGCTAGGCATTGAAGTACGGGCTCGTGACCTTGGTGCTGTCCCGTCTCAACCGTCGTCTTCCTGCGGCGGGGGTGCGAGGCCGACCTGCCGAGCGGGTTTCTTTCGCCAGGTCTGGCTTGATATTGGACCGCGAGGTTCGTTCGCCCTTTGACTTGGACCGGCGTGCTGTTGTGCCGTTGGCACCGTCAGACTGAAACTCGCTGTCATCTCCGTCGTCGTCCGGAGTGGGACTAGATATGACCGATGTGGCAGCTCTGGTGCTTGTTCTTGTTCGTCTCCGTGAGGATGGCTGAGACGCGGCTGTGGAATTTCCCTGAGCCCGAGGTTTGGGCGCTGAGGAGTTGCGTTTGGTGGCTCTCGTGGGCACATAGTCGTCCGAATCGGAGTCAATCGGAGTTTTGTCATCGTGATCACTATCGTCGTCACCTTCTCCTTCGCCCCTCACGTCGTCCTCGTCATCATCATCAGCATCGCCGACATCGTATAGCCTGGTTTCGATACCGGATTCGTTACCGGATTCGTGGTCGAACTCTTCACCGTCTCCGCTATCATCGCTGGGAGGCGCTGATAAACCTGAACTCTCGTGCTCACTGTCTCCAGGTTCATCGAGGATAGACTTTCCAGGTCGTCGACGTCGAAGCGCGGGTTTCAACGGCGAGACAGAAGACGGGGTCGGATACTGATAGTCTGAAGCTCGTTCTTTCCCCTTGGAAATGGAGTGAGCCGAAACATGCGATTTCGGCGCGTCTTGGTGATGGACCACTTCGAGGTCACTTTCGACCAGCTGCTCTTCGTCGGAGTCGATAAGAAACCCGCCTCCCTCACCGAAGTCGTCCTCGGCGGTCTGAGTTTCAGGTAAATCTCGATGCGCCATGGGAGCCTCGTCGTCAGTTTCCAACATGATCGGCTGGTCTTGACTCTTCCCCACTGCCAGCTCATCAGCCGCATTCTGATCGCCGTATGTGTCCCTCACTCTCTCCCTAATCCTCAGCCCGACAACAAATTTTCTCCATAGCTCCAATACCATCGACTCCATCTTCTTCTCCTGTTTTTTCCTCTGCTCCTCGTTGAATTTGTGCCACGCCTCTTTGACAGCCCGCTCATTCTCCTTCGCGACGACCACCCCGGTGCATATGGGCACTGCGCGCTTGTTGCCGAATTCAAAGCCCGTGACTGCCTCAGCAAAGTCAACCTGTAGCTTCTTACAGATCCGCACAGTCCCTCTCAGAGGAATATGAACGGCGCCTTCTGGCACCATTGAAGGAACAAAGCAATCTATATTTCCATAGGCGTTCTTCGGTATCACCCCGTTTTGTATTGGAGGAGGGATGATGTATTCAGTCTGATCCCAGCTGTACAGGCCCTGCATCTGTTTCTCTCCAGTTTGTCGTTCGTGTTCTTCTGCTTCCCGCTTACGAGTCAACGTGACAGCCCGCACCGGAACTAGCTTCAAAGGAGCCTCCCCGGCTGAAGGACGACGGCCCTCTTTATGCCATGACTCTGCTGTCAAACATCGTTCAACGTCGGATCGGCGAAACACTGGCTCCTCCTTCTGGTTGTCGCCCTTTCCCGAAACGAAGATGCGCACCGGTTTGGCGTTGGGTCGAAGCGCTTCTTCACGGCGGAGGAACCGTTCGAGCACATAATCAGCGGAGGCCTTAAGTGACTGCAAAGTGTCGACTTCTTGACCGCCGCCGTCCTTCTTCTCAGGTAGCTGAGGGACAAGATCCGCCGCATCTTCCACGTCGTCGACCGCTGTTCTCATCGGGTCAGGCCGAGCGTAGCCACTCATTACGCGCTTGAACCAGTCGTAGTCCTCGTATCTCTTGACCTTGCCGTGTTTGTTGTATACAGGAATCTTCTCCACAGGGAATCGGAACCCCTTTGTCTTGCCTGGCCAAATTCTTTTCTTCAGATATCGCACAGTCACATCCTTCGCCGAGCCATCGGAAGAATACGCAATGACATAGGCCATCACTGTCTTTGTCTTCTCAGCTTTGATGCCGCGGGGCTCGAAGGTCGCAAGGGTTTCGGGAGTAGTTGCTACCGGGGACGTAAGAACGAGTGGAGATACAGGGAGGATTTTGTGTGTTATAGGAGATATTGCCTCAGTCCAGTAGGTGGGGAAGGGATTGTCTCGGTCGTATTTCTGAGGTCGTTTCTTGGGCATGGTCGGGGTGATGTCCACAACTGAGGAGTCGTCGTCTTCGCGCTCAGAACCAACCTTGATTGTTTTGCGAGGCCCGCCTTTCCGTCGTGCTGGAGTCTTTGTGATCTCCGATATCGATTTGGCGTCTCCAGACTCTGAATCGTTAAGAGAAGTATCGGAATCGACCTCCTCGATGGCCTTCTTGGGCAGTGCTTGTTCTGCCTTGGTCCAACCGAAGCCACTGGGCTGTAGACTCGCTACCAACCTGGCCTCGATACCTAAGCCTCTCAGCAGTGCGGTAAACAGTTGAGCGCCGACGTCCCTCGAGCCCTCAGACTTCCTCGCAAGCTGACGGAATTCCTGGATATTTCTGATTCGCTCTCCATGTACCTCAGGATTGTGCTCGTCGTTGCGCTGAGACTGGATAGTCTGCTTCAAGCTGTGCCGGGTGCCGTAGCCACGCTTCCGTAAACCAGGAGCAGTAACGGCAAACCTCTTCTTCCAATATGCAGCCAGGACTTTCATAAGGGAGATTAGTGGATCGCCATTGCTCATGTCGGGTTTGCCCTGCTCGACACGTTTGCTTGGTCTACCCCAATCTCTTTCATCACGCGGGTCACCAGCCCTCTGTTTGCCATGTCTCTTGCCCCTACCCTTTGTAGAATCTCCAATTCCCTCTGTCTCTACAGCTATCAACCCACTGGCTCTCTTCCACTTTTCGACCTCCTTCTTGATCGGAGGAGGCAACTGTTGGACGAGGATCTGTTGAACCTCCCTGTCTGAGACCCAGCTGTTCCGAATCGAGTTGTGCCATAGTAGGAATTGCACGTGTAGTTGATGGGTACAAACCCGGACCTGCTTCTCGCGCTTCGAGGGACCTTTGCGCTTGTTTGCCGCTTGCGCAATCCAGTTGTCGGCTTCATTGTCCGCTTTGCGCAAAGTTATCTCGATAGGACCGTCCGACTGCGGTTTATAGGCCGGTAACTCCTTCTCATGATCGTAGCCTGCAGCGTCTTCCCATTCTATATCTTCGTCCTCGTCCTCTTCCTTTTCATCATGATGAGTCGAAGCCGATGGCTGCTTGAGGTTCGATGAGACGTCTTCGAACTGCTCGCTGTCTACGTCACTGAGAGAGGATTCGGACTCGTCACTCCCGAGAGAGAACGTCTCGGTCCGTTGTAGCCCTGGAATATTTCTCGATTCGGCGTCCAATACATCTGCGAGGCGTGCTTTCTTCACAGGAGTCTCTCGAGAGGGAGCCGGTGGCGACGTGGATCGCCTCTTTCTCGGGAGGAATGGTGGCATTGGATTCTACCCTGGAAGGGCACAGAGCCTCAGCTCTAGATCATACAAGGTAAGAGGTCAAAGACGATGACACCGACACCAACATACAGGATGCAGGCAGCATCCGGTGCGATTTGCGCGACTTTCCCAGGGCGGTAAATGGTGACGTCGCTAAGATCTCCAGAGGCACCAGAGGGTTTAAGCGAAAAGTGATAATCCCGCGGCGCAGATGGCGCCTGGAACAATCCACTGGGATTTTTTTTGCGGGGGGGCATGAACAAAAGATTTACGCGTGGTGCTCTCATCAAGCACTTTCGTTCACGACGCGCCCTGTCAAGGACATATTCCTCTCTCGCCTACAGCCTTCAGCCCCTGTTTGAGATCAATGGCCGACAGATCGCCGTTGTCGCCTATTCGCACCTACCACTGCCTATGCACGACCCTCGTTCTCGCCACCGCGCATGACCTGAATTCCCTTCCTCGTCGCAATGAGCCTGTTCAAGATGGCGCTCTGATCCTAGCTCCGCCTGTCGACATTACTCGAGCGGAGAGCCTAGAGATGCTAGAATCCAAACCCGCGACTTCGGTGCTTCTCAATGTGGCGCCAGAGCGAAGACCAGTCATGATCCGCAGAGAAGACGGATTCGAGAAGAGAACCCTCTTGAGATGCATTCGGTGCAAGTTAGTAATAGGATACAATCTCGATGACAGTCAATTTGAGAAACAAGAAGGGAATCCAAGGCCAGCATATTTGCTGCCTGGTGGACTACTCGGTACCCAAGACATGGTGGAAGGGAAACAAGCAGAGACTCCATCTTGGGCGGAGCAGAAATAACTGCCTGTTTGTGCAGAATTCATGTGTTTATTTGCATCTGAGATACCCTCTGAACCAATAAGTTCTGCCAGAATGCACTCAGGTGCTGTGCCTGAGAAACAGGACAATGGTGGTGGTATCCTGACCACTGCTGCGCCAACCAAAAACGATACACTGGATTCCATGCCCGTAAACCATACGCTCGTAAAAGGAAGTGCCTAGTTGGCCAGGATCGTTCGGACGAGTTCCATGTAGTTGATCTCCCCACTACTGGTGTCGACGGCCTTCAGCAGCTCGTCCACCTCTTCGTCACTCATTTTCTCGCCCAAGTTCGTCAGAATGTATCTCAGTTGGCCCACCCCAATAAAGCCAGTCATGTCCTTGTCAAACACTTGGAAGCCACGACAGTATTCTTCTGGTTCGCCAGGATCTCGGAAGCCACCAGGTCGGTTGAGCACTTTGCTGAAGGAGTCAAAGTCAACTGTGGCAAATGTTAGCCCCCGGTTTGCTATCAAGTGGCCCTGATTTTTCTTACAATCGCCCCCAACTTGTTTCTCTAGGTCTCTGATCTCAGCGAGGGTGGGATTTTGGCCGCAGGCGCGCAGGAGGTCGCCGAGCGATTCGAGAGCAACACGGCCATTGCCACGCTTGTCATACAGCGAGAAGGCCTCTTTGTAGTTGGTAGAAGTCTGTGTGGCAGATGATTGAGAATTAGCCATTGAGAAGAATTCTGCGTGAAAACAGAGATAGAGGGGGAAGATGCAGAGGGAGAAAGTTCGTGAGATGGTGTCGTGTCTTTGTTTGTTGGTGGACGACAATTGAGCGTTTAGTCAAGCATGCTGGGGGGGGGTGAGATCGCCCTGGTCCTCTGCGGAAACTTCCTGGGCGAATGGGAGGAAAGAACTCACCATCTTCCAAATCTGAGTTCTCCCAAAGAAGTGTGTTCCTTTCCACAAGCCTCGACTGCTCTTTGCTGAATCGAATTTATTCTTGGTGTTTGAGTCGTGAAAATGGTTTCAGGGTCAGTGTTGAAGAAGGTGGAAGACAACACAGGTCTCTCCTGAAGTAAAGATGGCGCGTGCACGCTCCTTTCTGTTGACACTAGTTCCTGCGTGGCCCTCGACCACAAACCCACTTCAACGCCCCCCCGTCTCCCAGCAACGGTCGCCAGCCTCATTCACCACCACCTCGAGCCCCTCCTTTTCGACTCCCTAGCATGAAAATCACATTTGCTATGACGATGCAAACCCTAAAAATCTTCTGCTCCTTCTTGGGCAGCAACCGGAAGACGAGGCTCATCTGGTCTTGGACACACTCCGCAGCACGGCTTTCTGCCTCATCCTAGGTGGTTTCCGCAGTTTGAACAGACCAACAGGGCGTCAACTGATCAACTCCTTGGCCGCCAAGTTCCTCTACTGTCTACGAGCTTGCGAGAATGCGACCTCCGGCCCATCGTTTTCTAATATGCTGTCCAGTGGCAATCAAGTCCTCAATCTCTTCTTCACAACTTCACATGGCGGGATCACACCCGTTTATTCCCTCAACCATGAATTATCTCACAGTTCCTGATTGGGTATACCCGTGGTCCAATACCAGGAGGGTTTCATTCACCAGAGCATGAGGTCACGCCGCCCTCGGAATTAACTCGCGAAGTCGTCGACTCGTACAAGAAATGCGTATGGTCTAGAATTTCCCTTGACTGGCCCGGTGGTAAGACCGAACGTCAAATACAAGCATGCGTTTCGCTTATGGGGTCCGTCTCGCTCTCGATCCTCGAGTTTCCTTTCTTTCACATGATCGTCCGAGATTGGTATCAATGGCCCAAACAGATCCCACACCCCATTTAGCCTATGTCACAGCCTCAAACATGCTCGGGTGGATAAACGTGGGAGAAGCGTGATATCTTGACAATCTACGCTGCAACGTTATCATTTAGCCCTGCATGCGTCAATGGCCTTGATCCATCCACAAGGTAGGGACTTTTACTCGGCCAGTCACATTGATGTTAGCACGTTGGGATCAATCGGCTGTCCTTCTCCTTAGCCCCATGTTTTCTGCAATCATTGATATAGAAGCGAAGTGGAAGCCAGCTGGGTATCCGAGCCCCTCAGCAGACAGCACACAATCCTCCTTATCCTACGGTGGTGAAGATAGATTTCACTTATTCTAGGCATCTCGCGTCCCAGGAGTATCGCAGCATATCTGATCGACATAACACGCCAACACTTTATCAATCGACCCCCCAGACCTACACTTCAATAAATAATGTCTTCTCCCTCATCGACCGGTGTCGAAAGACCTGCCATAACTACCCCAGGCCGACCGCACTCTTCTTCTCTATCTTCGGTCAACACTCTCCGAAGCACCACCACTTCGTCAACCTTGGCCTGCTCGTCGTCAGAGATGCATTCCAAACTCACCAAACAAATGCAGGCACGCTCCAACAATCAGCAACGCTGGCAGTCCTGGCAAGCCAAACAAATCGAATGCTTTCAAGGTGCTGCAATGGAGGCAGGGAAGGATGCCAAATCGAGCAAGGGTTTCACCTCAAAGCGGCCGCATATCCACCTCGACGGCATTTCGAGAAGTCTTAGGAGATTGCGGGGGTAAGGACGTTAAGAGCGTGCAAGTGTGACACTCATGCTGCATCAGAAGTAGTCTCACTAATCGATATTGAATGCGGCTTAGCGGCTCATGAGGAGGGATACATCATATGTTCCCAGAGCAAGGCAAATCGAAGACGTCGTGGAAGTGACGGAAGGATTTTTCCTCCCCAAGGCCTGATTTCAACACGGCTGTTCTGGATTGCTTACAAACCGATACCAAACACACCCGGTTGTCCAGAGTCCCAACCCTACACTAAAGCCACATCCTTTCAAACCGAAGGAAATCCAGTCATGCAAGGATGACAGCGTCTGGTCTACAAGACCGGAGACGCAGAAGCTCGACCTGGACATAGTAGGCGTTCCAGACACTGGTCAAGAGATGTTGGTCTGAGTGACTGGTCCGACGTTGGAGAGTTCGCGCCTGGGTCGGACGTACCAAGAGGAGATCGACGTTCCCGAACACTGCAGGAGCTAGGACAGAGCGTCTTCGTGATGCGTTTCTCACCTGGCTGACTGACAAAGCCCTGCAGTCAAGTACTGGAAGCATGATATCATGTACCCGTGTTGGAGTGGCTGGAGAACGTCAGGATGGAGAGATGCATGGATGGTTGGCCAGTTTTGGGCTTGGGCAAAGCATCCGATCTTTTATAGGATCAGGAATCGACAATATCCAGAATATGCTTATACGAACTTGCGTTGAGCCCTATCTCAAGACTTACCGGTTCGATGACGGTTCGATTCTAAGCATCCCTTCCGACTACGTGGTCACAAGGTTGTGATGGAACTCGAGTGCTTTTGTGCATATTTGCTATTGACTGCAGATCTCCCATGGCCTTCATCAGTGGCTCTGACTACAAGAATTTACTCGAGTGCATTGATGCTCGCGCGTCCGACCTCGGCCGCACCAGTTTCAAGCACTCACTCCCTTGTGGTTTGACAGGCCGAGGGCCTTATCTTCGCCTTTTAGTTTATTCTTACCATGAACGCCCTCGATCCGAGCATGGATATGCTCCTCGGCCGTCCTCCCTGCACCGGCATATCTCGGCACCCAACCCTGCTTCTGCATGCCTTGCATAGGCACCAGAACGGCATCCTTGTCCGGATGCAGGAAATACGCAAACGTGTACCGATCCAAGCCGCCCTCCGTGGCGGTGGGGACGACGCGGTGCCAAGTGCTCTTTAACTTGCCAGCGGTCCAGAACTCGAGCATGTCGCCGATGTTCACGAGGATCAGGTCGGGCAGAGCCGGTGCTGGCGTCCACGTCTCCGTGTCCAGCGACAAGTCTGGGGCAGTGTATTTGGGCGGGCGGACTTCGAGACCACCAACGGTGGTCTGGAAGAGAAGAGTCAGGGTACCCCAGTCTGTGTGGGGCGAGATGCGAAATGTTGTAGGAATCACACCACCGACAGTGTCCGACGAGGGCGTGGTGACGGGCGGGTAATGCATCAGCTCGAAGTTGTCATAGTTTTCCTTTTGCGGTCCATGGTACTGCGTGAACGTGGTGGGAGGGAGGTCGAGCGCCAACGCGATGAGCTCGAGGAGTTGCTTCGTGAAGAGACGGACATGTTGGTGCTGGAAGGAGAAGATCTGTTGGCGTGCTTCGGAGAGGATGGGAGGGAGGGGTGCGGCGGCGGCGTGCTCGGGCGTCGGCCACTTGTTGATACTGATGGCTTCGCGAGGATCGGTGAATCTGGCGTCCGCTCTGGGGAGGTCGTCAGGTCACACCATTGTGATTCTGCTCTGTTTTATCACAAGAAAAAGAAGAAAAAATGGAAGGGAGGGTAACGCCAGTAAACACACTCACCCGTACGAGCTGGCGGGTTTGTAGCCGGCGTTCTTCGATGCCACGTAGGGGGCTTCGAGTTTGACGGGCAGCGGTTGACCAAAGAACCGTCTCTGCTACAATGATCTTGTAAGTGTGATGGAATAGTCAATAGGATTGTGGTCATCTATAAGTTAACAACAAGAGCTTGGACGGGCGAAGAGGCAGGAGTTCTTGCGCTGTCCACCTACATATCTATATCGATTGGGGGAGAATGAAAGTAACAACAAGACTGGTCTGCATCAAGAGAAGATCAAGTAAGGAGAGATACTTACTAGGTCAAAAATACCGTCAATGGCCTCTTGCGGTATAGGATGGTTTTTGACATAGAAGAAGCCTATTGTTGATGATACAGAAGAAGCAATCAGTAAGTATAGACCACACAATATGTTGGCCAAGTACCACTACTCGTACGAGTACGGGGGCCAGTACTGCCTTGTGCATTGTGGTAAAGGATGCGGGCTCTCACCCCAGTCAGTACATGCTCTGAGCAGGTCTCTAGCCACCTCCTCCGGCGACGAGGTAGCCTGGGTAAAGTCGATGATAGGGATGTCGGTGGCGATAGCCATAGCGGTCTAGCAGTTTCTTGTTGTCCGCAGGGAATATTTCAGGTAGAGGTAGACAGATTAGTCCTGCGGTCTTGGTTGACACGTTGATTAGCGATTCTAAGTGCAAGGGTGCCACGAGGTGTTACTCGGTACCCGGCGAGACATACGAGTACTGAGTTGGTGCTCGTTTAGAGGATGTCTTGATTAGCGAATACTCTGGTGTTATGGTAGGTAGCATCAGTTCTACATCGTAGGAAGGTGAAATGGTTGATCATGACCATCCTCATTGATAGGGGCCAGAAATCTACCAAGTAGAACATCGCGATAATGGTCATAGATAAGGAAGGTCGTTTCTCCCTCGTTGGCCTCAAGTTCTCACTTCTCGTAAATCCTTGTGTCACCCGCAGCCTCCCTCTTTCGTCTCGGGGCTGGCCGAAACTTCCTTTTTCCCCCTAGTCTCCGACTCCTAAAGTCTCGGGCGGCCTCTTCCTTTCTGGGCTTGCAGGAATCAGGTCGCTTAGAAGCCCAGAACCAGTCATCCCTACATCCAAGCAAATGCCCAGATGAGCTTGAGCAAGCTTGGTGTTGTGGCCAAGTTCAACCCTGTTTTCATGTGGGAACTCCATTTCATCTTCACCTGGATGGCACCACTATTGATCTCTCCCTTTGAGTGCAGCGAGTAGCGATGTCTAGCCCTGTGTCCGGAACGACAAAAGAACACTCCCTTTTCCTACCAGCGGCGCCGTGCTTGATACCATCTCACCTGGGCTGCGGTGAAATACTCGTCGTATGCCTACAAGATTTCGCGACTCAACGAAGGACTAGGTACCGAGTAGTAGCACTGTTTACTTCGTAGGCATGTAGGCAGGGCGACAGGGTGCGGGGGGCGCAGTCTGCAATTTGACAAAGCTATCGCCGCCCAGATGACTAACCAAGTCGATGCGCCGGTTGGGAGGTGCCGAGTGGGCAAGGCAAGGAATGGGTGCACTCGTAGGTAAGAGAAGGCCATGAATAAGTAGTAAGTAAGGGCGTAACAAAAGCGACGCTGAGCCCCGTGTGAACTCCGGGCCCATTTTGCACATCGAGCCCACCGAACTCATCTTTCAAATTAACATAGTAAAGCAACCTCCTCAAACAAATACTTGCTGCGCGATCGAGGCGAACCCAATACTACAAAGTACACAGTATCCAAATGCTGACGGACTTATCGGGGCCTGAGCGCAGCTGAGAAAGGGGGTGAGAGAGGACGCAGTCTGACAATGCACAGTCAAAGAGGCGGCTGTCACGCATAATGGGCACTCTAGAATCGAGGAAGACTCCCAGCACCTCGCTTGTCGCAAGAACCCCTCGCGAAGCTCTGCACAAGTACACAAATACTCGTGTGGCCCTTTCAGTGGCAGAAAGATTGCACACCTACACTCGAGACTTGCGAGATAGCACTTCCAACGACGCCAGTAACCGGACCTGTTCCCAAAGGCAGACCATGGCCCGCGTAATTGCAGCATCGGAGATGTGGCGCTGACCTGCCATCCCAGGCTCATGACTGGATCGCCCTTATCAAAGGCTCGCCTGCCATTTCCCACTTGATCTCTGGTCTGTGCCATCCGGTGCAATCATCGGCGCTCTCCGCGTTTCTAACTCGCTAATATCTTCGAGATCATCCTTCTGTGGAGATGCAGAGTCGTATTTCCACCCCTCCGGAACGGGACACGCCCGTTTGAACGGCAGCCCTTTTATCGCCAGTGGAGGGTTTGACGGAGCTAAGATACGATCAAGCTCGCGAAGCAATACTTGGTGTGTGGGACAGTGTCTACTACCGTGCCCGACTGTTATCTACAGTAGCGTCACTGCTATATTTAATGGCTGTTGGTCGTCCATTTCTCATGTCTCCGGCCCTGTGTGACCGAGTGCTTCTCGTTCCTTACCTTGCTCTTATTGCCTTCGCTCGACGACCCTGTTTCCCGTGAGGCACCAGGCATACTTTGTCGTCACAAAATGGCCGCCATTGAGCCAACCAGCTCCTCTGGAGCGCCGTCAAAAGATATCGACATCGAAAAGCTCCCCGAGGTCAACGAGGCAGTCGAGCCCGAAGTCCGTCATGGCAGTGTCACTCCAGCATATGAAATAGCAAAAGCAAGACATATTCAGACCAGCCTCGCCCCTCTTCGGTGGCTGAGCAGGGGCGAGACATGGCTCGATGAAAAGATGGGTATCGAAACCCAGGGGATCGATCGTATCCCCGAGGAAGAGAAACGGCCGCCTGCCCTCATCAACACCTTTTTCATGTGGTTTTCAATGACCTGCCACGTTGGCACCCTCCCGCTCGGCGTGCTGGGACCCGAATTTGGCTTGACCCTAGGCCAATCGGTCGCAGCGGTGGTGGTGGGCACCATCCTGGGAGCGCTCTGCACGGCATATACTGGTACCCTGGGACCTAAGACTGGACTTCGTCAAATCGCCACATCTCGATATTCCTTTGGTTTCTGGGGAGCCAAGCTCTGCAGTGTTCTCAATGTGATAGTTGGCGGTGGTTTTGCTGTGGTCAATGTGGTCATTACTGGTCAAATGCTCAGCGCTGTCTCGGACTACTCAATGACCATCGCCGTGGGCTGCGTGATTGTCGCCATCGTGTCCTACGTGGTTTCAGTGTTTGGCTTTGCCATCATCCACACCTTTGAGAAGTACAGCTGGATTGTATCTTTTATTCTCCTGTGCGTCTTGATCGGTCAGGCAGCGCCGCATGTCGGACCCAATGCACCTGGATTCCCTGCTTCAAACCTGGAGATTGCTGGCTCGTGGCTCAGCTTCATGGCCATCTGCTTCTCCAGCTCTTCTGGCTGGTGCTCCATCGCCGCCGACTACTATTGCAATTACCCTGCAAGCACAAAGACCTGGAAGATCTTCTTCCTGACCCTGGCCGGGATTACCATCCCAACCGTCTTCGTGACCGTCATTGGTTCCTGCATTGGGAACGCCGCTATCCTGAACGCATATCCTCCTTACTCGGATGCTTATGAGAACCACGGCCTGGGCGGCTTGTTGCGCGAGATCTACCATCCCGTCGGCTGGGCCAAATTTTGCCTGGTTATCCTCACCTTCAGCGTCTTGGGCAACAACATTGCCATCAACTACTCCTCCGGTCTATCCATCCAACTTCTCGGTCACTACTTCCATGCTGTACCCAGATTTATTTGGTCCTTTTTGGTCGCTCTGGTGGTGGCGCTGCTCGCCATTGCTGGAAAGGACCATCTGTCCAACATTGTTTCAGATTTCGTGTCCTTGCTGGGTTACTGGACCATCTCCTTCACCCTCATTCTTCTAATTGAAGACCAATTCTTTCGCAAGCGATCGGGTGAAGGGTACAACCTCGAAGTGTGGGATATGCCTGATAAGCTGCCATGGGGTGCCGCGGCTGTCTTCTCCCTGCTGGCAGGATATCTGGCTGGTGGTCTGCCCGGTATGGCGCAAGTTTGGGTAAGTCACTGTGATATTCGCATGTTCCTATCTGGCCGAAGTAGTTGCTAACAGGTGTCTTCCAGTACGTCGGACCTATTGCTGCCAAATTCGGACCATTCGGTGGTGACGTCGGTATCTACATGTCTGGCGCCATCACAGTGGTTTGCTACTTTCCCTTGCGTTATCTGGAGAGGAAGAAGACGGGAAGGTAGATGCCGTGGGCGATATAACTACTTTGTAGAGGAGTAGTATCTCAGGCGCCACACACCCTTTATGTATTTGATAGTCTCAAAAGTCGTATAGTTGGTTTTATTAGCCCCGAAGCTGCAATGAGATGATGGACAAATATTTTGTTCCACCGGGTGGATCGTGTATCAATCTGCTGTCTGGTTCTCATCCTTTCCACTTCGGTGTGTGGTGAGTATGGCCTTTGATGAAGCGCTAGAAAGGGTGAAAATGCTCAGTCGATAGGCACGATAGTCTGTGACGCGACTGATATAGATGTGACAACGCCAAGGCTTCGCCGCCAAGGTGAGTAAGTCCCTGCCTATCTGGGTAACTTACCAGAAGGACAGGCGAAGAAGAATCACGATTTCAAATTCCATTGTTATCATCCACAACCCTTTTTCTCCATCGATGAAACCAGTACCACACGCTGCGCCTGTAACCATCAATTTTGGCAGAGGGCCATTTCTCGCGGCTCTATCTCCATCTTCCTCCTGTTCCGAACTCTCTCCATCCCACGTGGCAGACCCGGCACGCTGGTTCCCTTGAACACGTTGCGCATGGATTTTATGCAGATATGGCCAAAGATGACAGCCGGTAGTGCAAAAGCCATGTCGCCTTCTCGACCACTCTTATCAAAGGCTGCGGTATTGGCCTTCTTCCATTCACCACAATCAGTGGCTGGTCGTTTCATTACCCCAACCAGGCCTAGAATCTGCTACGCTGAATCAAGCTTGATAAGACTCGCTAGCCTCTGCCACCAACGCGGGTCTTCTCCTTCCAACAACTCGTCGTGGCTGTTTCTCCGCATCTTTGAACTTCAATAGGTATGGCGTCTCTGCAGAAGCCCTCCGCCAGGGCTGGCTGCCTTGATAACGGACTTCTGCAGGCTAACCTCTGATAGGGATCATCATTGTCACCTTCGACGAGCTATTCCAACAGTGCAGAAGTCCGAAAAGAGTTGCATTCCGAGAGTCGTCAGGGTCCTGTCACTACATATGGAAGATCAACGGCAGTTCCAGGATGCAAGTCTCGCACATTTCTCCGACCATCTAACCTCCTCGTCCTCCTCCTCACCATGGCTTCTACAGCTGAGAAAGATTTAACACAGATGGATGTCAAAGATACATCCACTCCATCTGATCCGCCCTCCATCAAAGATGGCGCCCACGACAACGTCGGCGTCGGTGTCGTTCTCACCCACGATGAATACCATCTTGCCACCCTGGGATACAAACAAGAGTTCATTCGATCCCTGGGCTTCTTCGAGAGTTGGGCAGCGACATTCACTTCTATGAACTTCATCTCTGGAATTCCTGTCTTATTTGGGTGGGTTATGTACACCGGAGGACCACAAGCAGCATTCGCAAACTGGACAATGGTTGGTGGCCTTTCCTGCATCGTGAGCTTGGTCATGGCAGAGCTGGCCGCTGCGCTACCCACCACCGGCGGCATCTACTTCTGGAGCTACCGTCTAGGTGGAGAGAAGTATGGTCCCTTCCTCAGCTGGATGACAGCATGGTGGAATTTTGCCGGCTGGATTACCATAGTTCCAGGGGTCCAGCAAGGCTCTACCAACTTCTTGGTCTCGGCTTTGATGATAAAATATCCTGACGCCGAAGTTCTCCACAAGGGCTGGTTCTTGTGGCTGCTCACGAGCATTGGCATGATCTTTGCCATGATTCCAAACATCTACAACTCGAAGTTGCTCCAGTACTATTTCCGCTTTGCGGTCGCAATCTTCTTCTCGCTCTTCTTCATGTACTGGATCTGGTTTCCAATCAAGGCTTCCGAAAAGCATTTCAACAGCAGCCACGGGGCGTTTGATTTGTTCTACAACGGCATCAACTTGGGAGACAAGAAGCAGGCCTCAGATGGGTACTGTTGGTGAGTTACAGCATTTGGACATCAATGCGCCGCTCTTTCGCTCATAACTGACGTCGTTTTACAAGGGTCATTTCCGTCCTGTTTGGAGCTTGGGTCTTCTACGGGTACGACGCCTCTGCACATCTGGCTGAAGAAACAAAGCAAGCTTCCACCGTTGTCGCCAAAGGGATCTACAGTAAGTCTATTTCCTTTTCTCCTGGGGTTGTTGACTATGGAGACTCATAGCTATTTGCAGTGTCCACTTTCTCGGCCTGGATCTTGTCGGTGCCTACTCTCATCATCATTCTTTTCTGCATGCAAGATTTTGAAGGTATCATCTCAGCAACTTATGCAAATAACTGGGCGGAGTATCTCGTTCAACTTATTGGAGAGAACGGTGCGGTCGCCATCCTCTCGCTGCTCTGGGTTGACAGCACGTGCGCGACGGCGAGTTGCTTCATGTCAGCCCAGCGAGTTACTTATGCCATCTCCCGCGACGGGGTGCTCCCCTTCAGCTTCTTCTTCAGGAAGCTCTCCAAGCGCAAGATGGCGGTAAATGCCGCACTGCTCGTGTTCTGCATGTCTGTTGCCATCACCACAGCCGTCATTGGTTCCACAGTCGCATTCTCAGCAATCACGGCTACCGCCACGATCGCCACCAACTTCTCGTATCTGATCCCTATAATCGCGAGACAGACAGTGGGACGCAAGTCGTTTGTACCGGCGAAGTGGAACTTGGGAAAGCTCTCTGCACCACTGGCCACTATAGCCACGGTATACATCTTGTTCCTTTTTGCAGTCCTTCTCCTGCCACAGTTGTACCCGGTGGACGCGGAGACACTGAACTATGCGCCTATTTGCATTGGTATTATCACAGTCATTAGCTTGGTGGGATGGTTCTTCCCCGTATGGGGTGCTATGCACTGGTTCCAAGGACCGATCAAGACAATCACCGAGGAAGAGTTGCGAAATGCCCGGGTTGAAGGAGGAGTAGCGACGGTTGAGGAAGGAGATGCCCTAGCAAACTTTGACTTTGGACATCGGCGGAAGAGTGTGACACGGACGATATAGCCCAAGATTAGGGCGGAGGTGCAACAACAGCGCGTCTCAAGACAAGGACAATACAGCGTCGCTTTTATTGTGCGACTTTGCACCCGTCTGACATCTCTTGGTCATAATATAGCAGATGGCCCAATACCAACTATACTCCTCGCCTACAGCTTCTGCCTCTCAAACTTCCTGCCTACTGCTCTCAGCATATTCTCACCGTCGACTAACACACACCAGCCCTCTCCGCCCACCGTGCCATCCTCAAACCCTCCCACGGCCGACTCAAAGTTCTCCTTGGCGTACTCCAGGTCCTGGTCCTCGAAGCTCCCCGGCTGTAGCCACACAGCTTTCACTCCGGCCGCCTTAGCCTCCTCCAGGACTTTCCTCGTAACTGCAGGCGGCGTGAGAAATGACAGTGCCGTCTGGGACGGGTGAGGAAGAGCCGTGACCGTTGGTACAGTGGGGTATGTCTTGGAGGGCAGGGATATAGATGGTCGAGTCGGATTGATTGGTGTCACCGGCAGCGAGTAGACATGGTACCACGCCAATATCCTGTACCCGAACTTGCTTTTATCTTGACTTGCGCCGACCACGGCAAAGTACGGTGAGGTGAAGAATCTTCTGGCGGCGGCTTCCATGGTGAAGTTGGAAGACGGAAGACTTGGGGGAAAGATGTCACAGCGGTAGCTGCTCAGTCGCGAACAATTGTTTGAGAGATATTAGAGAATCCCTGACGAAAAGCACGTCATGGCAAGCCGTGGCGGGCGATCCAAGGAAAATCAGAATTGTCTGACGGCGACGACTGTGCTGATGTGCTCTCCCTCACTTGTCATACAGAAAAACATCGAGTTTCCTCCCTCGCCCGCTAGCATTGCCTGGGTTAGGGCCCTCTGGGCAAGGCAGACTCGACCCTGCACTATGGCTGGTGCGAGGTGTTTCTGTGGCTTGATCGTGGCTTGGGAGCCTCAGGCGCCCCGTTCGGGACGGAGAAGGGCCAATCGCACAGGCAGCGGGATTGATGGGCCACACTGTCCTACTGGGAATGCCCATTGGGCACGCCCGCCTAACGAACAGCAGCCCTTTGTCCTTTGACCGGGGGGAGCACTCGGCTGCAGGCAGTTGCGGGCAGGCTGTCTGCTGGGCTGCCCCATGTCATTCATTGAACAAAAGTGAGTCTTTCTCACAAAGCTCCATCATAATGTCCTCTTGTCTCCTTGACAGCAGCTCTGCTGCCTCAGTCATGATCGATTCCTTCTCCCGAATGTGTTTGCCATCGTCTTGCCACCTCTGAGACCAAGTCTCGCCACGACCTGAGTCTTTTCGTACCAGAACAATCCCGTTTCCTCACAAAACATGGCTGATTTGGCTCTCCGCACTCGGGATCAGCCTGATATTCGGGCGCGGATCAGCACCCACGAGGAGCATACCAATGATATCAAAGAACTCCTGATCGCCGACCAGACACAGAAAGCTCTACGGTCAAAACAATCGTGGACTCCTCCAGATGCAGTGGGATCTTTGCATCGGGTAGTGTTACGCAAAACGAGAACCCTTCCTTATCCTTATCGCCCGGGGCATTTCCACGACATCCCCGCCTCAGACCCTTTGCCCTGTCCGCTCAATCGGTCAAACAGCCTCAACTCCCTGTCAACCATACAACGAGAGACAGAAGCTGCTTCATTAAGTTTATATAGAGGGTCACCTATCTCTGCAATCAGCCCTCCGTGTGTCCCGCCGTCAGCGCCATCATGGACACCGGACATCGATTCCGAGCTTCAAGATCCGTGCCCACCTCGGCCCCCGCTACGGGTAGAAACTCTCAGTCAGCAACGCAAATACCAGAAGCGTTTGAGGAAGCATATGAAAAAAGAGGAGAAGGAGCTGCGCAAGGCACAAAAAGAGGAGGACCAATTGCGCCGCGCAGCGCTGGCTGCTGAAGTTGCTGCGTCCCGGAGGTGGGCGACGACCAGAGGAGACTCGATCCCATTCCGCACAAAGAGCACGAAGAGCACGAAGAGCATAGCCTCACAAGTAGTCAAGAGTTTCAGCCTGAAGACTCCGTTGAACAAACTCAGTCGTCATGTTCGGAGAGATAGAGCGGATCCGCCAACACTTGACGACTTCGACAGCAAACAGGAGTTCCGGGACTATCTCAATCCTTCTCCTTCACCCCCGCCATCCGCCGAAATTGCTGAGCTTCCGGCCGAATTGCCGCAATATACGCCGTTTCAAGACTCGACGAGGACCCAGAAGAACGAACCTGTCGTTCTGTTAGAAGATGCTCACGCATTGAAAGAAAAGGACAAGCTATCACCTACCGAGAACGACGATGCAAGAGCGAACAATGCTCCTACGACTCCAAGGTCCATGCGGTGCGACTCATGTCAGAGCCCCATTCGTCTGCACCAGATCTACTACCACTGCTCGATTTGCGACAATGGCGACCGCATACTGTGTTCCTCATGTGATCAGGCCGGCTGGAGCTGTCGCCATAACCTTACGGAAAGGGTGCGGAGTGTTTCTCGTCCAATGGCCCCCCACAAAGTGGACGTCGCCAACATGAGTAGCGAACAATCTCGCTCAGAAGTACAGCAATACGCCACAGCCATGTGGGGGTTGAATCTGTCGGATTTCCCTACTCACCACAACCGATTGACTGAGTCGCCCACCCAGGCAACGATTTCGGCAGACAGTCCATGGGCATACAACGATATTCTAGAACAGAAGATATCACATGAAGCTCAACACCGGAGCATGCACCAATCCCAGAGATCTATGGATGCGCAACAGCTTGATTTCCGTCGACGTGAACAAGATATGGTATTCCGGGAAAAGGAGCTTACCCTGCGAGAACGAGAGGCCGCTGTGCGAGAGCAGCAGGCCTCTCTCAGAGAACAGGAGGCCGCTCTTCACGTGAAACAGCAGATGTTCACTCTCAATATGCAATCAGCAATTGCAAGACAAATGTCGGAACTGTCCGCCGGACTCGGTGCACAGTTCCAAGATCTGTCACAGGTATGTATTCTCCCTCAGCTAAACTCGTTTCGTAGATCTACCCTGCCATTTCTTGCAGCTCATCTTTGTTCTAATGATCCCTCCCAGAACAACAATATAAGAACGCATGCCACCAAACGCAAAGCGGGCACCGGATCCGCGATGGTCTCACCGTCCAATTCCACTAGCTCGAAGCATAAGTCCTCGCCAAAGCGTACGCCAAGCAGCGGCGGACAGGACCCCGACGAAGACGACGAGGACACTGCAGGAGGAACGCCGAAGAAGATCAAACAAGACCCCGATTCGATGCCCGAGAAACTATTCGCCTGTCCTTTCTCTAGATTTGACAAATCGAGGTATTCGGAACAGAATTCGCACGAGAAGCATTATCGAGGCTGCTCAAGTGGATACTGGCCTGACATCTCGCGACTCAAGCAGCATCTCTATCGGGTCCATTGGCGCCGCATCCACTGCATGCGGTGCTATACGAAGTTTGACCGCAAGGACCAACTAGACCAACATATCCGAGGGACAGCACCCTGTGCACTTGTCGAGTGCCCATTCCCAGAGAAGTTTGACGAGGCACAGTACAACGATATTCGGCGTAAACGACCGGCCAGCACTCCTGAGCAGGTTTGGTACACAATCTACGGCATACTGTTTCCGGGACTACCACAGCCAACAAGCCCATACGCCGACAACACGGGTGAATCTTCGGCACAAAGTCCAGGGCCGGCGGAAACCCAGGACACAATGGATGTTCTAGGGGAAGTCTTTGAATCTCGCCTGGATCAGCTCACAAATGTCCCTGGTCAGGGGTGGCTTCAGTCAGCGGAGGCGCGACAACTCATCCGTGAGCAGCTGAGAGCCTCCATGACTGAAGTACTCCAGAGGTTGAGGCCTGTCAACAGTCCTTCTTTAGGGAATCCGTCTGTTGAAGTGTCTCCCTGTTCGGCCCAACCGCCGGGTTCAGCTCGACGTAGCTCAATCTCTCTAACACCGGTGTCTTCCATTCCTCCTTCACCCATCCATGGGCCTGGTTCCGCAAGCAGGACAGGGGTTGAGTCACACTTACTTCTACCAGGTCATCGCCAAAGCTTCAGTCGTCCTTTCCCGGCTAGGACTGCACCCAAGCTCGATACCCAAGAACCTGCTCAGGAGGTCCTGACCGTGGCAGAGTCGCCGGCTGGAGTGACCTTCCCCATTCCTTTGGCTGTTAACCCAGAGAATGACCGGTATGACGACGAATGCAACAGCTGGAGCCATGGAGACGAGCTCGGTCTGGCTATATCGACGGACACGGTGTCACCTGACTTCGACTTTGATTTCGCCTCGGCCTTTGAGGAGCTCAACAACATGCAGGGAACAGCAGTAGCTCCGTCAGTCACAGAATTCAATCCGGTCAAGCTTTCCAGCTTGAAAGATTCCACCGAGGGAACATTGACAGGAGCTTCTGAGCTGAAACCGAAGCACTCCACAACCTCCTCGGTCGATTCGGGCTATGGTAGTCTTGGTCACGCCTCGTCATCGGCATCAGCGTCCTCTTCGGCGTCTACATCTGGGACACGGCCCAAAGCTAAACCAACATCAAAAGTGGGCAGAAATAGGGGCAAGCGAAAAGGACCGGAACTCCCGAAAGAAGTGAGTCCAGTGCCGGAATCGGCAATCAACTTTGAGGCTCTTAATATGCCATTCCAGGACTTCTCGGGTGCCAATCTAGACCTGGACTTGGAAGACTCTGTAGATGGTTTAGCCTTTGGCATCAGATTGGGCGATGAGAACTTGGGCACACTGGATCCGTCTCCTAGCCTGGACACGAAGTATTACCGCAATTTTTGAGGAGAAAAACGGAAAATGTATGTTCTGCGTTGGTCGTTTCATTTTGGTCATTAGGGTGGGGTTTTGTGATGTCTTCGTCCGGTGTGTTGCTGATCGGTTGGTATTATGGATACGACTTGGAAAAGGATATGATGATTGAATGGAAAAGGACTTTTTCACCAGGTTAGATGTGATATTAGGTATCTATGTAGTTATGGGCTGTTTTATGGGCGGACTGATACACGTGGATTTTATTCTGTCTGACAATTTATGTTCTGGTGGCTTTCCTCTTCTTTGCACCTTTTGTACCTTGTCAGACGAACAATTTTGGTCCGACTCTATCTCTGATTTCTCTGCGTCAACTGAGCCTTACTATAAAACGGTCAAGTCCTTGACGCAGCGAACGCTCCATTCTGAGAACTGCCAGAGACCTCACAGCAGAATTAAATAATGTACCTCGAAGATTCCACTCGTCGCGAAGCCCTACGATCCCATGCTGCCTACGGACTGAAATTCCGTATTGTGGTTGAGCAATGGCTGAGAACTGACATCATAGGCGAATTTACATCATGATAATGACAATGACAAGATGGCGACCGAGTACAAGTGAAAAAGAAGTTCTAGGTGGGTATGTATTCGAACAGTGAGATGCCATTCCCCCCCCCCAACCCAGATATAGCAGTCCTTCAACTTCATTCTCGGGATTTTCGTGCTTCCTTCACAGTCCACAGCCATGGTCGAATCGGTGATCCAGCTGAAATGCAATTGCAACAACTACCCCTGGGGCAGAAAGGGTCGCGAGTCACTGGCCGCCCGGCTCTGCTCCAAGACGAATCCCGACTTTCAGCTCGACGACTCCAAGGAGTACGCCGAGATGTGGATGGGAACATACCCGGAACTACCGTCCTTCTCGCTCGAAACAGGCCAGAATTTGGCAGAGATCCTGAAACAGCACAAGGAGGAGCTAGTGGGCAAACATGTGTACGAAAAATTCGGGCCCGACCTGCCTTTCCTCCCCAAGATCTTGTCCATTGCAAAGGCGCTCCCGCTGCAGATTCACCCGGACAAGAAACTGTCGGAGAAGCTGCACAAGGACAACCCGGACCAGTTCCCAGATCCCAACCACAAGCCCGAGATAGCCGTCGCTCTGTCCAGATTCGAGGCTTTTGTCGGGTTCAAGCCCCTCGTAGACATCCAGGAATTGATGAAGTTGGAATCTCTCAAACCATTTCTGCCCACCACGATCGAGGGCTTGACCTTGAGCGATGACGAGAAGCTGCGGCAGATTTGTACAAACATGCTGAAGGCGGAGGAAGATGTCGTCGCAGACACGATGGAGGGCCTATTGGCGACGCGGGCGGACCAGTTTGGGAACCAGGGGTATGTGCTCGATTTGGCCCAAAGGTTGCAGGAACAATATGGCAAGCAGGACAACGGGAATTTAGTGGCGTTGATCTGTATGAATTTCTTGGTATTGGATGCGGGCTCAGCACTGTACATCCCGGCGGATGGCATCCACGCTTACCTCTCGGGCGACATTGTCGAGTGCATGGCGAGGTCGAACAATGTCATCAACACGGGCTTCTGTCCAAGGGCGGATCGCGATTCAGTCGATCTGTTCGCCAGGTCACTGACATTCAAACAACACGACCCATCAGAGCCCGTCCTCAAGCGACAAGCCAGCGACAAGAGTCAGAACGGCAAGACGGACGAGTTCAAGCCGCCGATGAGCGAGTTCAATATGCTTGTCACGGAGCTGTCAGGCGGCGAGAAGGAAGTGGTCAAAGGTATCGCGGGGCCAAGTATCATGGTAGTCACAGACGGGGGTGGGAAAATGAATGGCGGTGGACGGGAATATGAGTTGAAAGAGGGGAGCATCTTTTTCCTGGGCCACGGCGTTGACGTTGACATGGTTGCGGACGATAGGTTGGTTGTGTATCGGGCGTACGCAGAATAAGAGCTTTTTTCTTTCTTTTTTGTAAGTTATTGTATTGATTGGAGATGGCAGCCACCACTGGATGAGCTTTGCAGCTGTGCAGGTGAACGGTGCCTCGCCTGCGTTGGTTAGGCATTTCTGGCAACCCATGTCGTCCCCAAGCCACACTGACCACTTAACCACTTAACGAGTCCAACATCCCGGGACCTTCATCAAACCAATGATGGTCGCCCACGCGCCTGCGGTGGCTGCAGATGTTCAGCCTACCTTGTACCGTCGACTACATGGCGGCCAGATCAGCCTCATCCTTCTCCTCAGTGAGAGAGGTGAGCACTCTTCCCGCTGCCTGTTCAGCTCTCCCTCTTAAACCGAGACGGCTCCTGCTTCGTCCAAACCTGTGTGGCTCGCGGCCCTAAGCAATGGCCTCTGATGGGAGCAGAAGACAGTCACGAGTCGATCCCGACCGCCTGCAACTTCAAAACACTTCAGAGACCACCAAAACAGCACATGCATTACCTACGCCTGGGACCAACCCACCGGCCCAGCATCCATTTCCTCATATCTTGGACGATGGCATCACGGAGCTATGGTGCCCAAGTGATCCTGCGCAGATCGTCGCGGATATCTACTTTGTCCACGACCTGATGGGACACCCCTTCAAGACGTGGTGTCACTCAAAGGCAGCACCGTCACAATACCAGCGGGCTGATACAGGGTCAAGAAGACATGTGCTTTCGAAGATACTTGGCCGGAAACATGAAGCGCCACAGCAGACAAGTGACAACACTTCGCAGGCGGCTTCACCAAAGGATCGAGGGTGCTACTGGCCCCTCGAGTCCTGATTACACTGACATCTCCCATAGCTCTGATGGAAGCCCTCGATTTCACGAACAGGTGCAGTCGCGAACAACAACTGAGTGACCTCGACACGCCGGAGAAAACATTCACCTGGATCTGGGATACACCTTTCAAAACTTGGCTTGAGCACGATAGCTCTATCTTCTGGATATATGAGAAGCCGGCTTCCGGGAAGAGCACACTCCTGAACTACATTCGCAACGCCGGGATACCCGCAAGATATTGAGCAACTCTCATGGAAAGGCCTGGAAGATCATTCACTTCTTTTTCGATTTTCGAGCTGGAAGTGCGATTGGCAACAATATGGAGGGTTTCCTTCGGTCTCTGCTGCGTCAATTATGCGAGGACCTCCCCAATGTCTCCCGAGCCGTCCCGGATCTTGCGAGAATCGTCACTAGCAATGCTCAGCAACAAACTGATCATTCTTTTGCGAAGCCCTTACCTATTGGTGTCTTGAGGACAGCACTCCTTGAAGGGAATCGGAGCTGTTCACATTTGATGATTCTGCTGGACGGTCTGGATGAGTACGAGGGTGAACAGAGCGGACTCTGCAACTTCGTCAAAGCCCTGCAGGGAGACAAGATCAAAATTTGTCTTGCTAGCCGACCTGACCCACCCTTTCCGGATGCCTTTGCTGGGCTACCTTCATTCAAAATGGAAGTTCTCAACTTCAAGGCTATCAAAATGTTTGGCCTACATGTCCTCCAACAATTCTTTTCTGATCAGCGATATCTCCCGTCTATTTTACTTACCTTAGCAGATACCGTTGCACAAAGGTCACAGGGGGTCTTCCTGTGGGCAAGATTCGCGATATTTGAGTTGATTAAAGGACTCACCCGTGGCGAGAGGTTGGAATCTGCCGCGTTGATGCAAAGACTGGAAGAAATGCCACCAGAGCTACAACAAATCTACTCGCGCATATTCCAGCGCTGTCCTTCAGATGAGGGAAAGCTGGCGGGCCTCCTTTCACTGCTGATTTGCTACGGACTCAACACTGTCTCATCAAGAATGCTACAGATCGCCATCTCTTATCTTCCGCCATCCTCATCACTGCGTCCCGACAGTGTCACACTCTTAGCTGCGCAAGGTGGTGAGATTGAATTCTTGAAACGTTTGTTGGTTGTAACGGGCGGCACAGTGGAAATTCTCAAGGCACGAGTACGCCTTGACTCAATTTGGTGGCTTAGCAGAGTGCCACGCTTGATTCATCGGACGGTGAGAACTTACCTGGACCGAGATGGCTGGAAGGAAGTCCTTGGTGATATTTACAACTCAGCTTTGGGAGATAAAACATGTATTGAAATCTGTGCGCAGACGGTCGTGGATAGGGAATCGAAGATGGCCTATCTATGGCCAAGATATCCTACATTGGAGTGGGATCTTTCTGCAGAAGCCACCGGCGACGAGTTTGACCAGCCAGGATCTACCAACGAACAGCCACTGAACGAGCTGATGGTGCAAGCTCTATTACTAGACTATGCCAGCCTCAAAATACTCGACCATGCTAGTCGCTACGAAAAGCCGTCGGCGACCTCGTCATATCCATTAATTGAGACGCTCGCCGATTCTTTCTTTCTAGACTTGCATCCGGACCCCCGTAACGAGTGTCTTCGTTGTCGAAGGCTCCGGCATCATTCGGAAGCGGACAACTTCAAGGTCGAACTTGTTCATCTTGCTGCGGTTCATGGCATGGGTCGTTTTGTGGAAGACGTTGCGCGAGAGCTACAAGAGAGACAAGTGACAAAATACTCCAAGGACATTGTGCACAGATTCCTCAGGATGATATATCCAAGCAAGGCATATGCTTCTGTGAAGGCTCTCAGAATCCTCAAGAAGGCCGCCGTCAAGCCTCAGTTCTCGCTTATATGGGCGCTGGCAATTCACGATATCCCCAACAGTGTCCGATCGTGGAATATATTGAAATTACGGCAGCGATCGGTTATTGCTTACCCCAGCTCTTGAAATTATTGTTAAAATATCATCCAGGAGACATTACTTCGCTGAAACATGACCGGCACGAGGTAGGACTCTATCTACCCGAGATGTTTGACTACCCGGAAAACAACGTGTGCTGGCCATTACTAGCTTTCGCTTATGAGGCTAGCGATAACCCTGTGGCCAAGAAAAACTTCGTACGAGACGCACAAGAGACACTCGTCATGCTGATTGACAGGGGGGTCCAAGTCGATGGCACTTGCGGCCCTTTGGGAGGTGTACTGCACTATATCGCAAGAAGACCACTTTCTCAGGGGACGGATAATACCATGGAAATAATTGACGTCCTTGTGGAAAGAGGTGTGAATATCAATCAACTTGGTCCACAGGGCACACCTCTGGAGCTTTTGTGGAAACTTGCCAATACAAAGAAGTACTCAGACAAATTCTGCGCCTACAGCTATCGCATATTGATACGCGCGCTCATTGACCGTAGGGCGGTCGACACACGTAAAGATCCGAATGGCCTAGGACCTTCGGTGATCCAGATGCAGTTGTTTGGCTGCAACAAGACTGATGAAAAGGAGTGCAGGCGATTTTATCAAATAGGACCACGCGATGGGGGGTCGATATGGCCGGGGCCAGTGCCACTGCATCCGGATGATGGGGAGGTGGAACGTTTTAGAGATGTTCCCTTTGACGAGGCAATCAGAGAGTACCGTGCGGCCATGGACTGCTAACCTCCCAGTCTACAAGTACCGAGTACAGCCTTGTGGGTCGAATGCACATTTCCCTGTCCCACTGCCTCGGGGACCCTTATGAGCAACTTCGAGACGCTTGGGGAGACTGCCTCGACGACCAGGCAGCCTGCCGAGAAACACCAAGCCCCTCAAGAGGCCCTCTGAAGAGGAGCAGATCGAGGCGGAAGTGGAACAAATTGAGCGCAAGATGGAGCAGGAACGAACACTCAGGATTTCGAATCGTCCACCCCCATCTCCCTCTCGTCCTGTTCATGTGTTGTCCCCAATGGACTCTTTTCTTTTCAATGTCGTGCTAGAACTTTCCAGCACAAAGGGAACGGGCACCGACAATATCGCTGAGGCACTCCAGGATCAAACATGACCAAGGTGGTGAAGGGGACCATTGAGAGAATTTTATACATTGGAATAGGCGTCCAACCAAATCAAAACAAGGGGATAGGAAACAAGGCGTACTCTAGGAAGCTCTTGTCCCTCTTCGTACTCAATTTACAATGTCAAGTGTTGGACGAGGAGGGCAGCAAATGACCAGTCAAGACGCCAAGACCTACCTCAACAAGTCCCAATTAGTTGGTACTGAGTCCAGCCTTGCGCATCGAATACTCCCTCTTATCCTCCCTTCTGTCTGCCACTTTTACCTCACCTTTTAATTTCAACTTTCTTAGATTTCTACCTTCATGGTAGGAATTCCGCCTGTTATTACTCCTTCTTTCTTCTTTCGTTCCCCTCTTTCAGGGCTCTTCAATTCTTCAATTCTTCGCTGTCCTTGTAACAGGACTCCCCCCCGTTACTATCCTCCTTCTCTTTATTCTTTCTTCGCTTCATTCTTCACTTCGCCCCTTCATGAACAAGATTCTCGTCATCTAAAAATGCCCACCGCTCGTTAAATAGGTAAGTATAGTACACTAGATACAGGATTCGGATCATTAACCCCATCTCCTAGGAGATACCTTCTTTAGCCTCGCAATGAAGCAACTTAAGGTAATCAAAGCCCAGCGTAAGATACATCTACTCATTATCATAACGTCATACTCATCAACGATATAGGCAAAAAATAGGCTCGCAGGAGGTGCCGACAGCAATGAAGACATGTCGAGATTATCAACAGGGCACGCTGGGCTGGCAACGCGCGACGGGCACCGAGCCACCGAGTAGTAACAACTACTGGTGCCATATTGGAGTACGTCGGTGACATCCTTAGTTCCAACTACGTCATATGTAGCCTACGCTCGGTATACCTACTTCAATTGGTATACTTAAATTCAACGCCGATCTCTAGCTTCGTGTTATGCCCGCGTGCATTGAGAGCTCCTTTCTTCATCGGCGACAGCGCCTCTATTCTACTCACTCTCTGCGTGTAGACTAAGCAACGTCGAGTTTGTTGACCCTTTTCACATTCCCTAGGGTTTCCGCCAAACAAGATAAGATGAAAGTAGTGATGAACAGAGACAAGGCAGAACAGTTTCCATTGGATTTCGAGGATCAAAGAAATGGAATGGTAACGACAAGCTACTGTCTTTCGCCTTTCCGTTTCACGGAGATATATAAGAGCGATATATATATTGATTACCAATTCTCTCCGACGGGGGTTATACCGCAGGCGGACGGAGCTATATGCAGAAACTAAACTCAATGAGCCTAGTCATGTAGGTGGCTACAATTTCCTCCCTTGAGGAATCATCACCATCCCATCTTCCCATATAATCCAACCCAGTTCCGTTCCCCTCCCTACCCTCCCTCCCCATGCGCTGGGAGATACTAGTTTCAAAGCAACAGGCACCTTCCAACAAATAGATGCTGTGCAAACTATGCATGATTTTGACATTGGTCGTTAAGGAGCGTGGGTTTTCTCTTCTCTTTCTTTCTATGTCGTAAGGAGTGTGTCTCATATCTCTTGCAGTCATTTGAAGGATCGTACGCTCATGGCCGTGGTCTGGTTCCAGGGATGAGCCAGGAATTAACAAAGTTGGACTCTTTGTTCGAGTGCCTGAAACAATAAAAGGGTCGACGTCATTTGTCGTTATTTCCTCCCACTGATCGCATGCTACATACAGCATGTCGACCTGAGATGAATCGACAGAAGACGTGATTAGATGAATTGAAGATGTGCTTTTTCTTCTGATTTTCAAACCTTTCTCGCTACTCCCCAGTATCTGGAGAGCCGGTTTGATCATTCACATTTATGCCAGGGCGACCAAGCCAACAATACCGGCAAGGAGCGCCACGGCAGGCTTGTTGTTGCTGCTAGCTGCGCCGGTGTACGTCGCTACCGGAGCAGGGGCAGTAGTGCTAGCGACTGGAGCGACGCTTGTCCAGACGCTGCTGCTGACGACTGGCGCAGGAGGTGGAGCATATGTGCTGCTGCTCACGGCGACAGTGGCCCAGGTGCTAAACTCAGGTGCCGAAGGAGTTGACCACTCAGCCCAGCTGGTAACGGGCGATGGAGTGCTCTCGACAGGCGCTGGGGCAGGTGCAGGAGTCCAATCTTGCCATTGAGAGGTGGTGGGCTGGACAGGAACCGGAGTCGTCGTTGCGCTACTCCAATCTTGCCAATGAG